CAGCGGTACCTAGAACCCCCCGCAGGGGAAGCCAGCGGGGAGGCAGAGCCGGAATCTCCTTACAAAAGGGGGAGGGAATCAGAGATCTGATCGCCTCTATACATCCGTGCGGCGCCCACATCTCCACCACTGCCTGGTCCTCTCCTCCCAATTAACATCTCTTGGCTTTGGAAAAGGGTCCGAAAAGGGAAGGCAAATGATGAGGGGGTTGGAACGGTGCCATGTGAGGGGGGATTAAAAAGACTGGGACTTTTCAGCTTAGAAAAGAGGAGACTGGGGGGGGGGATATGACAGAGGTCTATAAAATGATGGCAGACATGGAGAAAGTGAAGAAGGAAATCCTTATTTACTTGTCCTCATAACATAAGAACTAGGGGTTACCAATGAAATGAATAGGCAGCACCTTTAAAACAAACAAAAGGAAGTATTTCTTCATGAAGCAGAATCAACCTGTTAAAAGCATTTTCGGAAAAGAGCGTCTAGATTGGCGCGGAGTTTGCGTTATAACGATGCGCTTTTGCAGAAAAGCGTCCATGCCAATCTAAACGCGCTTTTCCGCAAAAAAAACCCCAATCGCCATTTTTGTGAACGAGGCTTTTTTGCTGAAAACAAATCTGAGCTGTCTACACTGGCCCTTTTGCGCAAAAGAGACTTTTGCCCAAATGGGAGCAGCATAGTTTTTCCGCAAAAGCACTGACAATCTTACATGAGATCATCAGTGCTTTTGCGGAAATTCAAGCGGCCAGTGTAGACAGCTGGCAAGTTTTTCCGGAAAAGCAGCTGATTTTCCGGAAAAACTGGCCAGTCTAGACACAGCCCTCTGGTAAAAGACTGTGGAGGCCACAGGATGGAAACTCTGACAGGGAAGGTGTCTGGATCAGACCGTGAACTCCATTTTGTTTTGCCCCTTTCATTTTGGTACCCAGTCTCCCATTTTGTATGTGGTTAGCTGCCATTTTGAGTGAGAAGGAAGGTCTGTTCCAGACACAGCCCTGCTAGGCAGGGGGGTTGGGTGTCTTGGAGAAGACTATCAAAGAGGCAGCTGTGGAGAGTCGTCAGCTTTGTGTACGTTGGATCTGCATGAGCTCATGCCTGAGATCGAGCGGTGAGATGGGGAGAAAAGGACTTTGGGACCAGATAGTATTGCCAGGACCACTCCTAGCTATGATACCAAACTCTAACTCTTAGACCTGCTGTATGGCAGCAGTTCAGTGAAAGGGGCAACCAACCACATTGGCTCAAGCAGGCCGCAACATGGCAATAACAGCAGAATGATCACGTGATGTTATCCCCACGCATGGGGAGAGAGGGGGAGGTGGACTCACATGAACGTACCTCTGAGCTGGAGTAATGCAATGTAAGAAGAGACACTTATGCAGAGACTGAGTAAATGCCTGGCATATTTCTGAAAACTATCCGACTTCCTATAATGTTGGAAACCCTCTTCCAAAGCTCCCCCATTTACTCTTCCGTCTGAAGACAGAAGCAAAGACATATATGTCAGAGACCTCAAAAAGAGAAAAGGAAACCATGTCGCAATCATTGTCATGGTCAGTCGGGTGTTTGTGATTTTTGGTAGCACCCAAGAATTCTAAAAAATTACATGATGGCATTTTTAGAATTGGATTTTGGTAATATGAGCGTTGACCTCATAATCTACAGTCGGAAACCCCCTCTATAAAAATATAACCTCACACTGCCTGCTTGTGTGTGGTTTATTCTATATATAACACATCCTTTGCATTGTTCAGACATATTCATTTGGAGAGACCTAGAGTATTTTAGACTTACCAGTACTCTTGAGAGTCCACTGTAACTGCCTCTGGCAAAAGATTCAGAGGGGGAGCCGTGTTAGTCTGTAACTGGAAAAACTTAAACAACAAATAGTTTGGCAGCAACTTAAAAACTAACAAAACGTACAGAGATATCATGAGCTTTCGTGGGCAAAACCTGCTTCTTCAGATGAATGGAGTTAATAAAGGTCCACTTCCAAAATAAATATGGGATGGGGGGGGGGGAAGGGGAAAGAAATAGTCAATTAGAGTGTTCATGCCACATGAAGCTGAAAGAGAAGGTGCCAATTGTTCTCAAGTACCCATTGTTTGGTGTGCTAGCCAGGTCATGTCTTTGTTCATACCTTTGTGATGGGCTCCAAACCTGTAAATGAAGTTACCTTCCAAGGCTTCCCTGTGTATTTGGTTTGTGTTAGTCACATCCTGCCTAGCTTTTCCAAAGCCCCTTCCTCTTCCTCTCGAGGTCCCTTCCAGTCCTATTATTCTATGATTCTATGATTCTATGATTCTACCTCCTTGAGGGGTTTCACTTGATTACCACTGTCCCTGCAGGTGTGAGATTTTGAGATTTCTCCAACATCCCCCTGGAGAAATGGAACTCCCGGGTGTGCTTTCCAT